CCCCGCTTCCCGCCCCCCGGGGGGAGCCCCATCAGCGAAGGGTGACCCCCTCCCGGCTTCGCCCGCCTATTGCCATCCCCGCGTATCAACTTTGAGCCCTCGCCGTTCATCGCTGATTCAGAAAGGGTGTTGACACAGGAGTCGGGGGCACGATGGGGAGAGCGGTTTCTCGAAGCGAAAGGGAAAAGGAGACCCCCCCCTTTTCTCCTCCCCGGGCCGGCCTGCCCGCGGGGTGCTCCCCGGGAGCGGGGGGCTGTGCGGGTCAGCTCGGGGCCGCTCTCCCGGGGCTCCCTGCTTTCCACGCGGAGCGCTGCGGAGAAGTTGCGTGTCGACTGCGGGGGAGAAAGCATCTTCCCTCCCCAAACCCCTCTTCTTGAGTGCGCGTCCTCTGCCCGTCCTTTCAGCCCCTTCTCCCCACGCGTAGCCCGGCCGGGGGCTGGGGGCCCTCTCCGCGCCCGGGAGGTGCAGCAGCCCCCGGGCAGCCTGTCCTCCCCCGGGGCTCGGAGGAGGCCGGGAGTCTGCAGCTGCTGCCTCGCAGTGCCCACGAACGACACGGCTCGGAGGGGCCGAGCGCTGACCACCTCCCGCTCCGGAAACCGCCCAGGCGATCAGTCAAATCGCCCTTGAGGCTCTCCGGAGCGAAGATGCTGCAAACAGCCTCCCAAAAAGCACCGGCGTGGCCAGGGAGCGGTCCCCACCCCGATCCGCTCCCTGCAGCCTCGGGGAGGATGGGGTCGGGGTGCCAACGAGACGGGGCCGGGGCCGGGACCGTGCACCCCCGGCCAGAGCAGGGGGTCAGGGGCTCCGGGCTGTGCTGGGAGCAGAAGCATGGGGGGGCTTTGCAGCCAGAAATGCGCCGGTCGGAGCCCCCCGGGAGCACCACGGCGGGGGCGGGCTGGCTGCCCCGCACACCCTGGGCGTGGGGGGGTGGCGAGGAAGAGCCCAGGGTTTGCACCGCTAAATTTGACTGCCGGACGACGGTTCGTCTACGTGATCTCGCGTAGCGCAGGAGGACGAGTCCCTTCAGCGAAAAT